AAAACTCGTGTCACCTTCTTCTTTATTGTGTTCCATGTGTGATTTCTGATGCAACTATTTGTATTTACACACTTCTCTCACTAAGGCATTGATGAACCCAGGCTGCCACGCACCGACCTCCAAACCACAGCGATCGTCACCCTGGCAACTCAGCAGGTACGCCAACTTGCCCAGATCCCGCATTTCGTCGCGGCCACCCGACACACCACCATGCATACGCTGCAATCATCTTGTCAGGACTTTCCAACTCGCTACTTGCACATCACCTAGCCACAACTTCCTTGAAGCTGGCAAATGGGTTGAGAGAGAGAGAGAGAGAGAGAGAGAGAGAGAGAGAGAGAGAGAGAGAGAGAGAGAGAGAGAGAGAGAGAGAGAGATTTTCGGGCGCGCTTGCGGGTTTTATAGTTGTGAGGAGGGGAATAGAAGAGGGAGAAATGTGGGTTGGAGGTAGGGAGGGGTGAAGAGGGAGTTTGGGATGGTCACGCTCGGAAGGCCATATTGATCCCCGCAGGTTTCTGCACAGCCAATTAGATTACTTTGTGCAAGAGGAGGAAAATGAAGATGGCATGGGTTCAAGTTATAGTGGGAGGCAGGGGAAACTTGCATGCACGGCGGTAGTGCAGAAAAGAAAAGGACACCAAAAAACGGTTACATTCTATCCTAGAGCTACTTCAAGAATACGAAATTCAAATGCAATACAAACGCACGGGCTTAAGCGTGTGAAAATCCTACGTCTATCTAGTTGCCCACTGAAAGTTCACAGTTCTTTCAAGGGCGATTGCAGGAAGATCCCTATGCAAGAAACGACATGTCAACAAAAAAAGCGTTCGTAAGTCCTTGAATTTCCAACCGCCGAACAAAATTTCTAGTGCGCTCGCTAAGGCGCACGTAATTCCTACGTAAACGCATGAATTCCTGAAAAGAAATTGCAACACAAGGAAAGGTTGTCCTGGACGTGAGAGGGCCTGACTGGGCGGCGATTCCATGCACAAGAAAGATAGCAAAAGTAGGGGTCTCCAAAGAGAGTCGACGGGTCAGATTAACAAAATTTTAGGGCTTCAGAAGATGGTTTAAGTATGGAAGTTGGTACGTCACAATGCACCTAACCACTAATACGTCCACAGAGAATGGAAAACATCCTAGTGTGAGTGTGCCCTAAATCAAATGAAGTACTCGAGGGGCTTTCTATTGACAAGAAAAAAGCACGGTCAATACCAACGTCCTCAAGTACCTACTTTTCTTTTTTGCGTTCGACGACTGCCAATAAAAAAAAAGACTTGCTATTTCTCTTTTCAACATCCTATTATTATTTAAAAAAAATCCAACAAAAGCCAAATTAAAACACAACTTTAAAATATTCAAACACCCTGATTTTGTTGCCCCTAGAGGATGTCCCACAGACGTCCCACAGGTGTCGCGGTGGGACACTTTACCTTACTCGTTAACTAGTGGAACCGAGACCTGGGATAACTCCGGGTTGAGTCATGAGTTCACTGTCCTGAAATTGATATTTTGTAATGGAATGAATTTTAATTAAAAAAAAAAACAAAAAAAACGGAGGCTCTTTTTTCGTTGTATTCAAATTTCTGACCCGTTCATGACCAGTTTACACGTGTGTGCCACTCGGCCACACGGCCGGAGTAACTTTTTGTATGGAGAAGGCAACCTTAGGGTTGTGCTCCACTGCAGGGGTCTTCGAGGAATTCCCCGAAGACCCTTAAGAACGACACTCGTGCTGTAAGAATTTGTGGGGCTCCACTTGCCTGCCCTTTCGGGACTCTCACGAAAACAACCCCCCTCAAGCAAGGGTAAATAGTGTTCTCCATTTCCACCGAGGCCGGAATCGTGGCCTGATTTTCTTAGTGAATCCTTGGAAAAAGATAGCAACACACCCCAGAATCAGCACGCGATCGCGGAGAACAGAGGAGAACTCCGACTTGGTGATTGTAGGGAATTCGTCAGTGAACTTAGGCAGAATCCCCAAAGAAAAGAAATGCAGAAATGTCAGTGGAGCCCGCAATTCTTTGAGGAATTCCTCGAAGAATCAGCAGTGGAGCGCTGCGCGGTCTTGGAGGAATTCATTTTCTCAAATTAAGAATGGCACCATTCCCGTAAAATTCACGAGGCTCCACATACAGGCCCTTGCGGAGAGTCTTACGAAAACAGGGCCTTGCAGCATGGGCAAATCTCCATTTCCAAGGAGGCCAGAATTGTGGCCTAATGCATTTGAACTGTTTTTTTTCTTGGAAAATGATACCCTCGCACCTGTCTTTTTTTTTTTTTTTTTTTTTTGATAAAACCCGTGACTCCTACTACGCAGGTGATATGAGCAGCCTCCCCTAGTAACTTTCCCCGCTTGCTCCATCTATTGATGGGGAGCTGCACCTGCTGGAAACCGAGTCCAGCGTCCCTTTGTATATCCAACAAGAAAAAGGATAGAAGTTGAAAACCCCAGAATCAGCACGGGATCCTGGAGAACAGAGGAAAACTTGGGCTTTCAGAGAATGTCCGTGATTTTCAGCAAATGCAGGTGAGATCCCAGAAAGGGAGAAAGTGTGAAAACTCCAGTGGAGCCCGCAATTCTCCGGCGAAGTCCTCAAAAACTGCAGTGGAACACAACCTTTATAGCCTACTAGCCATAAACAAATAAATCCTGAAGGGCATATATCGAACTTGGATAACCTGTCCATCACCGTAGGCTCAGCTGACCCAACCAGTCCATCACCATAGGCTCAGCCGAGCCAACCAGTCCATCACCATAGGCTCAGCCGAGCCAACCAGCCCATCGCCATAGGGTCAGCCCAAGCCAACCGGGATGGAGTAAAAAAATGCATGTTCATACAAGTTCCCAGTTTTTGGCCTTTTATTGTTTGTCGCAGAGCAACGGAGAAACCAGTCCATTATCATTGCGACCTATGGGCCACGCCACATCACTCTTGAAACGGGGGAATGTTTCCAGAGCTGTCAGACACTTTCAAAGTTACCTTTTTGAGAGCTTTCAGCCCCTCGCCACACAACACTCTTGAAAGGGCCATGGTGCTGGACAAAGGATGCAAAAAGTCAGTCTTACTTCTTTGTTTTTTTTCGAATGGCCGTCAGGATAATGGCCCGACAACTCTTGAAAATGGATAGTCCCTCAAGGGTTCGACCAAGGACACTTGAAAAAGCACGAGTAGCAAGTTGGGCTTCCGAATCTTTCAAGAGCTGCTCTAGAAAGGGTTTCAAGAGCCACTCTGACAGCTCCTGAAAGCCCGAAGTTTCAAGAGGCTGTGTGCCCACGCAGCGACTCTTGAAAATGAGTTTTCAGGAGTGGTGTGGCGAGGCCCTATCTCATACTCCCATTTGGGGGAAACTACGAGGGAGTCACAAAAACGAGTTATAATTGCACTATGGGCCACGATACAATTTGAATTGCAGTTCGGGGCCAGGTAGGGTGCCCGAAGTGCAATTGCAAACTGTATCTTGCCCCATAGTGCAATTATAACTCGTTTTTGTGACTCTACTGAAGTTACCTCACCAAATATGAGATTGGAAATTTGCTTCTGGGTGCATGTTTGATACCAATCAGTGGGCGGATGTTTAGAAAGTCCTAGGGCAAACCCACACTTATTTACGGACGTAGTTGCGGTCAGGTCCATGCAGGTCCGCCTGTAAATGCGGTCAAACATTTAAGATAGAGCTAGTGTGAGTACGCCCTTAGTGGGAGTTCGTCCTCACTGATCAGCAACTGCACTAGGAACTCCCACAGATGAGACAACTGCATTTCTCGTGCGTGCTGGGGTCTTGACCCAGTGATGTGCTCATGCAATGATGCCGAAGAGCCTGAACCGGTGAGCATGCTGACGAGCGAGCCAATACGTCAATAACCGGTGAATATGCCGACGAGCAAGACAGTGCGTCAATAAATAGGCATTCATATGACTAGATAGATAGATAGACGGATGTGTGTGTGTGTGTGTGTGTGTGTGAGAGAGAGAGAGAGAGAGAGAGAGAGAGAGAGAGAGAGAGAGAGAGAGAGAGAGAGAGAGAGAGAG